GTTTGTTGCCCAGAAGCCTCTTGGACATAATGTTCCCTTATGTGAGGAGGTAGAACTTGCTTTAGAAGGTTCATCCTCGTCCAGGTTTGGCTGAAGACTGATTGTTGACTTTTGGATGCCCCGAATGAGGGTGCTACACTGTGCTAATGACTGGTTTCTTTCAGATCTTGGGTGGCCTATGCCACTTCTAATTGTTGCATTCCCGATACTGATAATACTGCATGACACCAGACTCATTTACCTTCAATGTTTTCAAACATCTCTTAGACTGAAGTGGCTGTGTACCATATTTAAAGGGGAAGCTACTGCAGTTCTTTGGGAAGATGCCAAAGAAAAGAGAGAGAATGCTTCGAACCTAAAGCAATGGTAAACTGTCCTAGTCTGGAAAAGGTACAAGACCAAGTATAATTCCAGTTACTGCCTAGAAACACGGCAGCCTGTTAAACCTGTCTCCTTCCTTGTACATTCCTATGAAAAGCATACCAGGGCAAGTAATTCCATGTCCTGGTAACCCAGAGATTTGCTCTAGTCATCCCCAGAGCCCAATTTTCTGGGCCACATAATCATAAACAGTCTCAAATTTCAACTCTGTACATTTCCTCTACATGAGATTATCCACAGAGTCACTGAGACAATCAGGGGAAAGGGAAAAAAGACAATGTCCACCATCGAGAGTTCTCATTACCACCTCATGCCAGCCCCAGAGAACCGAGAAATCATAATGTCTATCCATGGCTGCCATTATTCCATGAAAAGCAGAGTTCTATTTTGTGGTCTTTTATAGTTGTATGTTGTGTTAGGTTGTTGTTCAGTGCTGTCGAGTCGTAAATGACTGATAACGACCCTATGAACAAAAGACCTGAGCACTGCTCATAGAGTTTCTGGAGGCAAGCCATTTCGGAAGCGGATGCCACTCCTACTTCCAAGCTTGTTTTAATCAGGAAGCTCCACCAAACACTGTCCACCATGGGTAACGATTATCACATTTGACACATCAGTGTCACAGTGTTTGGCATCAAAGCAACCACGAGTTACCTCTGTACAGCAATGGACAGACCAGTGCTATACCACCTAGAAGAATGGTAATTTAATTAATTAGTTAAGCATTTTAAACATTATCATAAATGCTTAGCTTGGTATTTTATAGTTGTACCAAAATTTCTAAGGACCTTTTAATGGGAGGGATTGACAGTGACTGCAACAATGGGTTCAAATATGTCAGAGATGATGCGGGTGGCACAGGATAGGACAAGGTTCAAATCTGTTCTTCATAAGATCGTTACGAGTCATACTTGACTCAATGGCACCTACCATCAACAACAATATGCCAGAAACACCAACAAATGGAAAGAAGTCCTTATGCAACCTCAAGAAGCATTTTCTGTAAGAGCCAAACAGTTATTGCCAAGCTCATACCTAAAGACAGACTTATGACAGGTGTCTGGCTCTATACTGTGATTTAACACATCCTAGTGGATATACTTGGAAGGAGTGGCATCCACTTCCATAATAGCTTGCCTCTGGAAACCCTGTGAACCTGGAGAGAGGATGAAAGGCGCCCAAGCATCGAGGACTCTCCTTCATAGGGTCGCTATGAGTTGCCTGCAACTCAACAGCACTTAACAATAACAAGTGGATATACATAAATGAGCAAAACAAGAATTATATAATTGATCAGTAAGTCTTATTCCATTCAATGAATAAAGAGATTACTCCTTCCATCTCTTGTGAAACATCTGAAAGTTTTGGATTCCCCCCCGCTTCTGTATTTGCTGATTTATGTGCCATCGAGTCAAAATAAACTCATAACTGATCCTACACCATTTTCAAAAACTGTGAATCACTTGGGAAGAGACAACTCATCTTTCTTCCATGGAGTAGCTGAAGTACTTGAACCACATGCCTTTGGGTTAGCAGCACACTCCCTACTTCGATACTAGAGATTTAGCAAATAATCTCATCATAACTTTTCTAGATTGTATAAATATTAAAAAGTGTAGAAAAGGAAAAACAGTATCACTCCATCCTATATAAAGGTAATGAATGTTAATATTTTGATGTGCAAGTTACCAGGCTTATTTTCCTGCATATCTATGCTGTTGTTAACAACATACACACATAAATAAATAAATGCATACATATATATTACAAATATAGACTTATATTCTTTACATTACTTGATAGTTTCTCCACTCAACCTTATGAGAAGAATATCCTAGGATGTCAAATCTACATTTTCATTGTAATAATCTCTTAGCAGTCAATTATAAAGACTTATCAAAAATATATTTATCTAATAATCTAAAGTTAAATATTCATGTTTCTCAACATTTCCTTTTTCTCCTTATTATCCTAGAAAAAAATTATATTCACTACCACAAAGAACCAACTTGAATATACAGCTTTGTATACAATTTATCTATATCTATGGTATTTATTAGTCTAAATTAAAGCCTTGCACTTCAGACCCCAGAATATGGAATCTCTAAGCTAAAGACTACTTTCAAAATTCTGGAGCAAAAAAAGGTTGTGTCAGTATCTAATGCCTGGAGCACATTTAGGGTATTCTACACATGTTCCACTGAATTACCAAGGTGCATAGCATAACTGAAAAGACAAAGTAAACAAATACGCATCTCAGATAGTTTACTTCCTAAACAAGTTAGGCAAAGAGATTACAAAGTAAAGCATTCCTTCACAGAATCATGATTATGATCCTAATATACTCATAATATAAAAATATATAGTGAATGCTAGAGTACCATCATACTGCAATTTTAATAAGATGACTTGTTTCTAAGTTGTGAAAATACTATTCACACATACCGAATATCAACACTCCATCATCAAGAATTATCCCAGAAAAACAACAAGTGATCAGCCTTGAGAAGAGTGTAGGAAAAGGGAGTGGCTTATAAAAGACATCCTGCAGAGCTAATTTTAAAAGCTTGTGAATAGCACACAAATGAGTAAGACTTTCAATAAATTCCTATATAAAGTAAGTAATATCCATAATATTTCACCATTCAAAATACAGACTGTTAGGTGAATAAACATGATTCTTTTATCAAAATCTAGTAAAGAAGGAACTTATCAATGATTCTTTTAGAGTAATAACCAGCATCATTAACTGTTAAGAATGGCCTGTAGCCAAATATCTATCCATACATATTGTAGCCAAATATCTATATATCTATATCTATAATCTGAAGCAAATTTAAACATGTATGTGATGCATGAGGGCACAAAATGGTATTTCTCACAGAACAAGAAATCGTCGTTTCTTCTATAATTCAGAGATGAAATAATTCCCCCATTGGAAAATTAGATTCTTGATCCTATTCTAGCCATATTAGAAACTCTTCAGAATAAATATATTAACAGTTTCTCTATAATAGCATTAACTTTATAAATGTATTTTAAATCTTTTTAAAACAGGGACTTATTCCTCATGGAATTCCTCAAAGAAGAGTTAACATACAAAATATTCACTTACAGTCAGAGGCTATCTTATTTACTCTCAAAATTCACTCTCTACTTTCAGTAGCAACTCAAATACGTAAGTAAACACTTGACACTGAAAATAGTAGTAGTCTTCCTCAACTTAAACCCACAAATGCAGCATGTGATATGTATTAGATCTTTCGATGTTATAACAGAAGTAAACAGATGGTTTATAACCACACAAAAAGAAAAGTCAGTAGAAATGTTCATCAAAAAACCATACAAATATAATACCTTGTTAGGTACAGCAGAAATCTGTTTTGTTTCATATATTTCCATGTACTAGACAGAAAGTAAAATGCCTTCACAGGTCAACCAGAACCAAAACTACACATATCAAACAGTGCAAGCTGTTTTATGATCATCTACACCTAATGGATTATTTAAATTGTTAATGTGTTGTATGTAGACTGTTGTGTAGATTTTTCATTTCCAATCAAAAGGGGCATATTACCAATTGTATTTCTAGAAATTTTTGTTCCATAAAAGATATTAGAAAAATGTAAATAATCAAAAGAATGCCTATGATGTCACAATCTACTCCCCTCCTTCTCCATTCTATAGTCTACTTTCATCTAATATGTACAAAAGATCAATTCCAAGCTCCTGTGGCTATGGATGACTTTTGTGACTTTTTACTTAGAATTTCAAATACAGAACGAAATACACAGAATGAAAAATCTGTTTGTGCTAACACTCTAAGCCCCAAGTAAAATTAGATAAACAGAATCATGTAATTGAGTTCAATTAATTTCATTATTTTAATGAATTAAATTAGTGACAAAACTTTACTCTGAGGTTCGGATATATGCAGGCGTAATGGAAACACATGAGTTTACCTTCATTTGAAGGAAATGGTATATGCATGTTGAAATAGGGCAATATCTTAATTGTGAAAAGACTGTATATGGTATAATATGGCAGTCAATGATACCACTGCCAGAAGTGAACTCAAAAGAAGAGGAAAAGAGATGAGTTCTGGGCACTGAGTCACTCCTTCACTTAATCAGACAGCCCCTCCGCATGATGAGGCTCCCTAGTCCTCCTAGCTTCACAGAGCCCTGCCCCACCTCTGTCTCTCTTCTCCACCAGGACTGGAGGTACATATACTACCATGAGTGGCAGTGACTTGCCTGTATTCGGGATGACGCCCAGTTACCAATCCTCTGCAGGATTCCATGTCCCCTTGGGCAAGAGCTGGTGCTTTCTTCTCACTCAAGGCACCACAAGCCACCAAATAAACCAGAACTCTCTTCAACACTTTGCTATCCAGCCTTGTTCCTACAGCTCAAGATAATCTACGAAGAAGTCATATAATTTTATGATATAACCCAGGAAAAACAAGACTTACGATTTTGACAAGGACTTTGACAGTGCAGCCACTTTTTTATTCTCTCCTTTTGAAACATCTTACATGAAGACAACAGAGCTTTCTGGAATGTAGTTGACACCTTTGCTGACCCAGCACAGGAAAAGCAACACAACGTTGGTCTTACCTTTGCAGCCACTGAGGAGTTTGGTTTTTCCAGCAAGTCCCACAGTTTCTTCCTTTTTTCAGGGCAACAGGTATTATCAAACTCTTCTCCCTCTCGTTCCCTCATAGTCTCGGCCTCTCGCCTCAGTTCTTCATTCATCTGCTCTTTCTTTTGATGGTATCTGGCTTGGCAGCAGGACTCTAAATAGATCTCATCAATGCCCCAGTAATCAAGCTCTTGGCCAAAAGAGAGCGCACACATTTCTTCCATCATGTGGAGTTTCCCTGTCCGGTAGAAATTTAAAATGGAAGTGAAAGCTCCCGGATGCCGGTCAAAGAAATACTCGTTCTCATTGAGGTTGTAGTCATCGCACACTTCTAAGAGGCTCTCGTGGGTGTTGCAGTCTCGAAGCTTCCCCAAGCGCGTCCTGGGAAGCCTGTCCAGTGTTCTCCACAGGACTTCGTGGTTGAGGCCACCCACGTTAATTTTCACTCTCCTTGAGCACGACTTGCTCCTAATAATGTCCACAGGTTCTGGTGGAAGAGAAAGTGTTGACCGGGAAGCCTTCCTGTTTAAGCCAGGTGTTACTTTTTCTGCCATTTTGAACCAGGCCAAACTTCAGAGCCAGGGTCCTCACGAGAACAAGCTGGGGAAAGGTCAGCCAAAGCAGTAGTCCTTTGAGACAGGCATTTCCATGACGCAGCTGGAAGAGAGCAAGAACCACCACTTGGTTACTTGTATTTTCCTCAGAGCACTTCTTATTGTATATGATTGTTCTGATGTTTAGGAGGTATAACACTAATCCTAACACATTAACTTTGTCTTAGGATATAAGAAAGGAAGAAGAGATAGTATCATGTATTACATTGAAGAGTCTATAGGGAGCTCTGGGCCTAGTGGCAAGAAGCTGTGCTGCAATCTCGAAGGGACACGGTTTGAGTCCACCAGCTGCTCTGCAGGAGGAGAGGCAATCTCCTCCCCTGCGATTGACTGCTCTGAAAACTCACCAGAAGATCAGCTATGAGCCGGCTCCAATTGGATGGTTCATAACAAGACCAGCATCTTGTGAGCGCTGCTAAGGCAAAGGCTGGGGTTTGAACCCATCAGTCACTCTGCAGGAGAAACACAAGCAATCTCTTTCCCTAATGATTTAGAACTTCAACTTTAGCAACCTTACAGAGATTCACCAGGAGTCAGAAGTGACTGGGTAGCAGTGGGTATGGTTTGGTTAATCAGGTGGCGAGAAAAGTGTGCCTTCATGGCAAAGGACCTTTAGCCACGAACTATAAAGTCAGCATTTCAAACTCACCAGTCACTCCTCAGAGGAAAGGTGTGACAATTTCCTTTGTAAAAATTTACTGCTTTGAAACCCTTATGGGTCAGTCCTGTCCTGTGGGGTCACTATGACTTGGAAAGGGTGCTCTGACACAATGACTCTAACAATGGAATCAAACATAGTAGAAATGGTGAAGATGGTCGAGGACAGGACAAGGTTCATATCACACACTATAAGTCCTAGTAAACTCAAAAGGACCTAACACACACAAAAAAAAGTAAAAAAAAAAAAAAAAAAAAAAGGACCTAACAACAACAAATAATGTTGGTCTAATGGGTAAGGAGCGACATTGCCAACTCAAAGGCAGGTGGTTCAAATCCACCAGTTGATCTGTAGGACAAAGATGGGCAATCTCTGCCCATGTTGTTTCCAGTAGATTCTCAGAGGCTGTAACGTTGGCTATGAGGCCGTTCTGACTCAACAGCACATAACGACATGAATTATATTAGCTCAACCCAGTGGGCCTGGATTTTGGTGTAGGCTAACAAAGGTCCCTAGATGGCGCACCAGTGCTGATGCCACCCAAAGGCACACAGTTTGAATCCATCAATTGCTCTGCAGGAGAAAGATGGACAATCTACTCCTGCGTGACTTCGTGTCTCTGAAAACCTGCTGGAGGGTCACCTACGAGTCTGTTTCAACTCAACAGTACATAACAACAACAAGTAGCTGAAAGACTGGAGGTTGGCACTCACCAGCAGTTTGCAGAAAGGTTTGGTTAACCTGCTTCTTTAATCAGTCCAGCCAAGCAAATTCAGTGGATCAGTTAATTATGCTCTGTAACCTGTTCGGTTCCCAAGAGTTGGAATCAACTCTATGGCGACTGGGCTAGACTAACAACTTCCAAATTTATTACCACAAATTTCTCAAGCTGCCGAGTGAATTATCAACTGTTCCTAGACAAAGCACCTTAAACAAATTCACCTTCAACAATACTGACCACCTCCTTAATCTGCCCAACAAGTTCCTTCACATATACATGGCACACAAGTCACTCAGCTAAAAGAGAAATCCTGACCCATTCCCCAGGCTCTGTAAGAACCAGGTCTTCTCGATTTTTGTTTCATTTTGCTTGAACCCTCTGCAACTTCTCAGCCTCCAGTATCATGACTCTGCTTCAAACCCTGAGCTCTCTTGCTTATGTTTCTAGAAGAACACTAGATCCATATCCCTGGTCTTGTCCTTGTAAAAACTCTTCTCCACTCATTACTGGAATTACCTGGTTTCTCCACTTCGGTAAGATAAATTTATTTCTCTAATGGCTAAGCATCCTCTCAAATGAAAATACAGAAAATTCATGAAAAATTGCATATGGATGATGTAAGAGGTACAAGGTGGCTCTGTGTTACAGATAAATATGCTTATGTATAGCATATTTATGAATAAATACTGGAAAGCTTTTTATTTTAAAAATTAGAGATACATAAAATGGCTCATAATAACAATCAGGTGCTACTTTGAGACACATAATCAATATTATTTTTACTGTATTATTATGTTAAATATGTTTTAATGTATCTGAAATGCTTCTGTAGTATTTTTTATGCACAGATTCTAGTTTTTATGTTCATTTATTCATTGTGGTGAAGTCAGAATCAACTCATAGATGACCCTCCTGCAGGTTTTTCAGAGGCTTTAACTGCACAAGAGGAGACTAACAACCCTTCTTCCATGGAGCAGCTGGTGGATTTGAACTGTTAGCCTTTGGGTTGGAAGCACAACCCCTTACCCACTAGCCTATCAGAGGTCCCTATATACTACAGAGTAAAACAAATATTTGACTGACATTGGATACTAACCAGACCTTATTGTCTTAATTGATGTACAAATTTGAATTAAACACAGATTTAGGCTTGACACTAGTTCTTAAACCTAAGATTGACTGTATTTTAAATAAAGTCAATAAATTAACTGATCAGGAGCTTTTTCAACTAGATCTTTACAGGACGATTTTAAGCAAACATGTATACATTTTTCATGGCATTAGAAAAGTGCCTCTTTGCCAAAATAATGAGGAAATATACTCACTGGCTATCTAAACAAAATCCTAATAGCTTCAGTTTTTCAATGTACAAATTAAATATTATCTACACTTCACAGGTCATCTTACGGCAATGAAATTAGATAGTGTGAAATCTTCACTAAAGGGAGTTATATCTGAATAGAATTAGAATAATGGTATTTCTCTCTTATACTCGGTTTTCCAACTACTAGAAAGTTAACCACCATACCAGGGATTGTTAAATAAATTCTAACATTCAGCTTTCCTTTCTTATGCATATGTTCTGTCTTCCCAACTAGATTTCAAGCTCATAATGCCAAGGACTTGGGATACTACCGTTTCTCTACCAATCTGATCACTGTACTTACACATAAACAGGCATAGCTTGTAATTTATGCCCACATTCAAATGTTCTATTCAAGTGACAACTGACTATATATATTAAAGTAAGGAGCAATAACCGGGCAAAAGTAGATGAAAATAACAGAGACAGCACAATTCATTCTCCATTAAGTTGTTTATAGATTCATTATGGTTTCAGCAATTCACATAAAGCATGTGAATAGTTAATATGAATAATAGGCCATAAGGGCAATCCATTTAGCCACAAATGAAAATAAATTTCCTATATGTCTGTATTATGAGAAAAAGAAGACATTATTTGAATTAACTGTAGTATCAGAGAAAAGGTTTTTCTGAAGAGGATAAAGGAGAGTAACAGGTCTTTTTCTTACTTGTGGTCAAGGGCGCAGTGTGACTTGCTCTCTTGTAAAAGTCATTCCTAAAAGCATATACGCTATGTCATAGTCACGGGGATGCTACCCTTTGCCTTAAATAATTTCACACTCACCACCTATATTGACATTTCCTTTTCGTAGGGAGTGTGTCTCAGATGAAGAGAGGTCAGAAGATTTAAATTTCAAAATTATCTTCTTTGTGGATCAAGAACTTTCTATTATAAGAAATCAGTGTTCATTACAGATCCCACAATAAAGACAAGCTGAAACTCAACGCCAGTTCTTCGAAGCTGGGAGGAGACAATGCGAGGGACGGCCTCTGTTGATTTGGTTTTCTGGAGTTTTAATGATGAGCTGCTCTGATGATTGTTACTGTGGTAAAACTCTTATTCTTCTTTGGCACAGTGTCCTGCTTTGTATCTGATAAAGGCAGATTTAAAAACTATGTTCTCAAGCACCTGAACTGATTGGTACTAACAGAGTTGCTTGAACTTTCAGAGTGTTGCTGTTGTTATGTACCATTTGGAAATGACCACAGATGACCTTCCAGTGGAGTTTTCACAGGCAGTAAATTGCAGGAGAGGAGACTGTCCATCTTTCTCCACCAAAGCAGTTAGTGGATGTGAACTATGTGCCTTTGGGTTGACAACATAGCTCCACAGGCACCAACAGCTAAAACAACATCATCAACAACAACAAAAACAACACAAAAACACGAAACCAACACACACACACACACACACACACACACACACACACACAGCAAAAACCCAAGAGGTTGCTGTAGGAAATTTATCATTCAAGCAAGCTGTACTGCATGATCCCTGACCACATTGCCTGCCACCTGCCTGTCATTCCCCCTTCTCCCTCTTCCTCTGTGGTTAGTGCTCCCACTCTCCTGTTCTGTTTCCCCGTCAGGCTGCTTATCTTTCCCCTGTTCCTTTCCCTCCCTTCCCATCCTGTTTCCTTGGTCTATGTTCAGAGCTGCAGAACTAACCACAAACCCAAACCAAACTACGTATTTTTTAACTTGTGTATAAAGTTCTCCATACTCTGTCTTAGTTAAGTCTTAAGTCTTCGTATTCCTTTTTGTTAAATAAAATTTTTATTTTATACTGATTACTTACAAACTTTGTATACATTATTTTTCACATTGGACCTTTCCCATTTCCTTTGCCCATATCACTCCACCCACCAAACTGTGAGACTCTATGATTAAGAATCTCCCCCGCCCCCCACATCCTCACCCCTCTGATCCTCTCCTCCTTTCCCATCCCTCTTACCTTTCCTTCCTTTGGATCCCCAAACATGTTGTACAATAATGGTCTCATACAGTATTTGTCCTTATCAGACTGAGTTTGTTCATTTAGCATGAATGCTCTCCAACTCCTCCCAAGTTAGACATTGATTTATGAAATCATGCTCCTGCATGCTGTGTAGTATTCAATTGTGTGAATGTACCATAATCTTTCAATCCATTCAATTTTGATTAGACATCTGGGCTGTTTCCATGTTCTTGTGATGG